GTGTGCAAATCGGTAACCAATCACAGGTAGGCCATAAGTTTCATAATGTCAAATATATTTTTATTATCGCAAGTTAGATGGGAATTAATTTTGATCCGAAGATTACTGACAAAAAAAAATATAGTTCAACTCAGTTAAAAACAATTGATTACAAATTACTTAGATCTGGAGAATTACTTTGAATGGTAAGTACCTTCGTTTTCTTAGCATTTAGGACAGAGTTCATTTATGTTAGACGATCCCTCGATTCTCATTAGATCCTCATTTAATCTAACCCTTAAATCTTCATTAAGACCAATGAGACTTGAGATGTAAATCTGAGTATCATCAGCATTACACTCGGCAGAAAAAGTCTGCGTACATAAACATACATACAACCAAAATAACTCATTAAAAAATGATTATATACATATATTTAAAAAAAATCCAATTTACTTTATATTCCCTAAGGAATTTTAAATTTGTTGATTTATGAAAATAAAAAGAAAACACACAGGCAACTAGAAAATTAATTACAAAAAGTTTGCGTACAAGGTATTTAGGTCGAACAAAGGCATTCTATTCCCAAATCCCACTTAAAATTCAATGGGAAGTCGAATATCCTCTAAATTTTAAAATTTCCGCTAGTCGTTTTGGCATGGAATCAATAAGTTTGGACGTTTCTATTGAAGAGATTTGAGCCCGTTCCCAGTACATCCTTGAGCATAGCCTTTGAGTAGTAGTCACTTTCTAGATCCAATTCTTCGGCGCTTTGCTTCAAATTTCTTCTTGTCCAAAGTGGACTCTATAAATTCCATTCTGCCCACACCATTACTGGCCATGCACCCCCATATCATTGTTCCACCACCAGCATGCTTACGCCCCTTGATTCCGTAGACGCAAAACTTGCTATCGTCGGAAAAAATAACCTTCTGGCAGAACTCCCGGCGCTTATTTAAGAGCTCTTTGGCAAAAGCAATACGTTTTTGCCCTTTGACTCTCGATATGATTGGCTTTTAGTGTGCGACATGACCGTGATACCCTGGTTTATTTAAAATTTTGCGGATAGTGCCAGCGCAGAGGGCCTTCTCGAAATTTTGGATAAAGTCGGGGGTTTTCAATTTTTTATTACTCTTTGGATGGAAGAATGTATCCTTCCAACAATCTGGCCAATTTGACTCCAGATTTGATATCTCTGCTTATATCTGTTGAGCAAATAGCTTCGTAAAAGTTTTATTGTCGTTGTATTGAAACCAAGTTAACGACAGTTTAAATATAAAAATGTCAGGTTTTACTAAGGTTTAATAGACCAAGCTTTTAAATTAATTTTTTTTGATGATCTCATTTCAGAAAAGGAGCTCTTACTGTTGTTAGAGGCCCACGGCTTTTGCTATTCAGCGCTAAATCAGAATTTGGATCAACAAAACAAGTCGTAGAACTGACAAAGGCGACTGGTGATACAAGTCTTACCATTCGTGCTGCAGTAACACTGTCACGTAAACAAGACCGATTCGGCTGCAGCTCTTAAAGAGGGTTTTTGAAAGCAAATTTTTGAAGGAAGTGTAATGCATTCGTTCATTCAAACGGTCAGACAGAAAGAGCGACAGACGGACATGGCGAAAACAATGTGATCGGTAAAAATTGTTGAGGGTTCTCTATTCAACTTTTTCTGATTTTTTTTTTTTGAACGTGAAAGGTATAAAAATGGTAAACAACAACAATGTATTTCAGTGATGATTTCTGTGTATTCAAATTGAATATTAGAAATTTGTTTATGTATGCACGTATATACAGCGTTGTTGGTAATTAATATACAACTTGCTAAATATCTACATATAATTGTACTTCCATACACACATACATACATCTTATTTTTGTTTTATGTTCCACAAACATAAATAAACATTTTGTCAGTTGATACAAAAGTGCAAAAAGCGAGCGCAAAATTGATTCAGTCTAAAGAATCAATTAGTTAACACTGTTGTTGTTGTTGTTTTCATAGCGATTTTAAAGGTACTACTTAGCTAGCGCTGAAAGTTCCAAAAGAAGAAGTGATTCCAATTAAATATATACTATTTTTTCATACGTTCTGTCATTTTAGGGCTAAGAATACCGTGATATTTGCATACCTTTCGATTTGTCTAACGAAGGGCGCGATATTGCCCGCTCAAACCGCCCTAAACACTGTAAACACCAAGACACCTCAATCAACGCCCCGGTATGCGTACTAACTGTCTGTGTAGCCAGGAAAGTAACTAAATTATAATCAATAAGAAGTCAAGAAATTGAGGAATTGAACAGCGGGTGCCGACCGCATACACCAACGAGACGCAATTGAAGAAGCAACTTTCCAAAACACCGCCCTTAGGAGCGCAACAGGAAACTTTCTGATATCACCTGAGTATCACTTGCACAGTAAAGCGTAGAGTTAAGGAGCATAATGGCCAGCTGTGCAAGCAATTCCGCACCGTCCTGCACGTCGGAGACAAGGTAGATGTAGCTGAAGGAGTTACAAGGCTGTCTTCTTCATCTTGAAATTTTTTCGATAGCACTTTGGTTCATGTTAAAGTAATAAAGAAGAACTCCTCGCGAAACCCCCCTTTATCTGGTACGAATTTCGACATTTTCAAATGAATGAAACAAATTGTTGTTCACGCTAAATCAAATGACATCTTCTAGTAGAGCCCTCTCTTAGAAAACCGCACGAATGCACACACCTAATAGTTTTTACGAAAATTACAAAAGCGATGGGTTAACGACAGGCACTGCGGTTTAGGGGCATGCTTGGCGGCCGCGGTAACCGAGTGGTTCGCATTGCGTACTGCCATTCGAAAGCCTCGGTCTCAAATCCCGGTGCGACCAAAATTCAAAAAGTTATGGAGAATTAATTTAAATAAAAATTTAAGATCAATTTTCTAATTGCGGTTGTTGTTGTTGTTATAACCGCAAAAATATTCCTCGAAGTACTTTTCTTGGAATGTTGCGGGAGTGACAGTCCTTGGCCGGATAAAAATCCAGGTCGTTCCGGTATAAAGACCCGACTGTCCCGGGAACTATTGGATTTTAGCCGCCTCTTACGACAGGCATGCCTTACCTGCCTTACCTGCCTTACCTGCCTAATTGCGGTCGCCCCCCGACAGTAAATGTCAACCCCTCCGAGTGTATTTTTGATATGAAATAAAGCTCCTCATATAAAACCACCGTCCGCCGTTCGAAAGCTGCTTGGAATATACTTTAGGTTCCTCCATTTGCCGCGTCCATCAAGACGCAAGACTACAAATTGCAGGGGGGGAACTCGGCCGAAAATCGTTTCAGCGGTTAAGAGCCAATTATATATATAATTGGATACCAGTCGTAAGAGGCGACTAAAATCGAAAAGTTATCGCAACATTCGGGTTTTTATACCGAAACGTCCCGGAGTTTTACTGCGCCAAGGGCTGTCACTTCCGAACAAGAACTACAACAACGCGCGTCATTGTGAGAACCAGGTAATACTAACATAACCATGTTATGGGTCCTGTAGTAAATTCGACTCCTACTTACGCAGGCTCAAGCCCGATATACCCATCTACATACATCACAATTCACAATGCAAACGGTACGTTCACTACTACAACAATTAATCAAATGCGGATCTTTTCTATATTAACTATAGCTGTCTACATTCATATCTTGGCCGAAGCGTAATGAGCATAAGAAATTAAGGAACTATGTAAATAAGTTTTATTTTTATTTCTAGCAACAAAAGCAATATGCCCAAAATGTTTGTGTATGTGGAAATACAAATATACTATATATATGTGCATACATATATGTATGCCTGGTTAAAATGATACACAATTGCCCTTGTTTTATGTGTTTCTGTTTTTTTTTTTAATTTGCCTCAATAGTTTTTAATTTTCTTTTCTTTTCGCACTCTTTGAATATTTTATTCGATTCCATTTTGTGCGCTTTTCGTCACACTAACAAATGCTGACCTTGACATTAGAAACTGCTGTATCGAAGTGAAATTTCACAATTATAATTCATATCAAATTCACATCATTTCTGCGAGTTGGAATATGGAATTGTACTCATGTAAAGCTGAAACAAAAACTAAATACATACATACATATGTGTATACGCACTGTTAATGCAATTTCTTTTCGATTTCAATATAAAGCATATTCAAAAATAGCGCAAATTACAACAACAACAAACACCATCAGCGATGTGGCGATCGGCGCTCACAACTGCCAACAAGCTAGCCCCCCCAGTACCCACCATGACGCTTTAACACCACAGTCGACCAGTCGCATCATTGATGAAGTGTTGCATAATATTTCGTTGCTTTAATTAAATTACTTTTGTGTTTGTTTTTCTTTTTTTTTTATTACTGCATATTCGGGTTGTATAAGCTCGCTTTTTAACTTTTTTTTCTTCAAATTTAAATAAATATTTAGCATTAAGTTAACCGGTTTAGGAAGTAAGAACGAAAAACAATTGTACATACATATGTACGTACGTAAGAATATACGAGCACATTAGAAAAGCTCGCTGCTGTTAATATACATATATATGTATATGTATATATTTTGTCCATATAATAGACCGGACCTACCCGAAATTAGGGTATGCCAAAGAGACGCATTCGAAAGAACTACGATGTTCATATGCAAAAAGTAAATCCTCGACTTTTTAATTATATATGAAAAAATACAAATTATAAACGTGGTTAATACCCTGTGCACATAGTATGTGTGTATATACACTCAACATTAACTTCATAAGTATTACTTCGGCTTTTTACTAATAAGTTTGTTTTTGTATTTTTATGTTTGTCTCATTCTACGCATATTTGTTTACTATATTTGAGTGTTTTTTTTTAAGTTTCACTACATACATTTCAAAGTTTTAATGCGCAGTATAAAAAAAACAACTCAGCATAGCATAAAAAATTTAGTATTGCTGCTGACAATTTTGTTATTATTTCAGATGTATGCAGAAATGTATGTATATAAGAAAATGTTTACATCACTTACCTTCCATGCATTAACTTTCGGTGGAGGTGCGGCGACGAACTTCTTGGTTTGAGGAGCAGCAGGAACTGCGCTGCCATTACCTCCGGAGGGCGGCGATTCAGCATCACTGCTTTTAGCCTCGTTACCACTACTTGTATTCTCAGCGCTAACACTGGGGGAAGTTTCCTTACGATCCTTTGGTGATTTTGGTGCACCACCAGGGCCACCTTTGCGTGGACTACCACCGCGTTGACGCGGCCGGCCAATGTATTTTTTATCACCTTCCTTCTCTATAGCGTTATTGCTATTTGCTGCTGTTGCACGCTTGTTTCTACCACCTTCACCACTACCGCCATTGCCATTGCCATTACCATTGCCGTTATTATTTCCCCCACCTGATCTGGGTCCACCAGCTAGCTTTTCATTGCCATTATTACCGTTGCCACCTTGACGTTCACGCCCGAAGGGCTTATCTTTACGTGGTTTTTTACGATCACGACGGTGATGTGAAACAACTGGAACAAAATCGGTATTATCATCGATTTCTGAAGAGTTTTCAGCACCAGCATCGGTAATAGCCGAACGTTTCTCACCAGCTACAGTAGCGCCTGCTTCAACAGCAACGACATTCGATAAACCTTCATTTGCTGCTTCAGCAGCGGCGGCCTCCTCACTCCATGACTTAATTGTTTTAAGATGAGGTTGGTTCTCTTTATTGTCAGAATCAGTAACTGCAATAACCTCGGAACCACCTTTGGCAATGGCACCTTGTTTGGTTTCTAAGTTTTGCAAAACGTTAGCATACGAAGTTGTAGCCGCTGCTGCAGCAGTTTGGACAGAGGGAGCGACCACCGTGGTAGCTGCGGTGGTGGCACTCGTTTTTGAAGTTTCTTCCTTAGCTGACATGTTAGCTTCTAGTTCGTGTTTCTCGTGTGACTCCGGAGTATGGGTAACGTCGATTACGTTACTTACTCCAGAACTGGCTTAGACGTTATGGAAACTCTTTACTGCTTCCTTGCCCAATTATTATGACAAAAACGTGTATAGACCTGAATTCAAAGACGCCGATTCTGTAAAATACATACAATTGATATAATTTTTTAACAATTGATATGTTTATTAATATATTATGTACAAAACTTATTAAATAATTTCACCTACTTTGATTTAAGTTTTCCAAAGAAATATTACAATCAGTAATATATTGAATATGTCACAATTCGCAAAGCACAAACAATTTATAGCGTGTCCTACTAATGAATCGACACCATTTCGAAAGTTAACACAGTTGATTCTTCAAAGAAAAATCGCAGACAACAATTCAAATATTTATCTTAAGCTAATGAAATACATAAATATTTATTTCCCTATATCGTTAATGACATCATGTCCTTTGAACAGCAAAGGAGAGCATCGCTTATGAATACAAACTATTTAAATCAATTTTCACTGTTCAACAACAACAAATTATCCTTTTTTTGGTATTACCAAATCTACTTTTTAATGCTTTATTATAATTCTTTTTTAGAAAAATAATAGAAAATTTTGTAAAATTTCGCGTAATATATCAACGGATGTCAGACTGTAGAAAATATGGTTAAAAGTGAGGTTAAGTATTTTGTACACACTGTCAAACTTCAACAGATATGAAAACAAAAGAAAGACAGTATAAAATCAATTGACATTTCATTTCGCGTACAGGGCTGTATTTAATAGTACTATAAAATAGATATCAATAATGACGTTGATTTATATTACATATTAGGCAACACACTTCAAAGTAAATATTTTGGTAAACAAATACACAAATATATTATAAATATTACCAGATTTTACGTATATATATCATGTTCCTTAAAATTTTATTAAAAACATTTTACTTTCGTCATAACCTACATCTGCGTATTATGCAATGCTAAAATAAAATGCATCTCTACATAGTCAGCTGACCGATAAGTATTAGAAACACAAAAAATTAGAATCCATCTACCACAAACAAATTATTTCAGTATTTCTATTAGAATGAGGGCACTTTTTACATTTTATATTTACATCTTAGCACTGAATTTCGAAAAATTCTTAAAAAATACTCACAACGCCGGTTCGCTGAGCTTAGTACGGTTCAAAACTCAATAAAGTTCACAGGCACGTTTATTATGTTTTCTTATCCTCAACTCTTTATTATGGTCTCTGCTTTGTGCACAATTTTCTACACATACGATTCAATTCGTACACCACCAAAAATCTCACACGAAGCACTGATACGAGCCGAATGTAACGTACGACGAAACTTGACAATTCGACGACGAAAAATAATGTTATAAAGAGACGAGAAAAATCGTAGTCTTTTTGCGTATTTGAAAATTTCTTTTTATTGAGATTGCGTGCAATCTATTGCGGATTTGGATTTTAATTCAATTGTAGAATGTTACTGTCAAGTTTATTCAGCAATTTTGTATGATTTCACAGCACTTTTCACCATAATTCATTGGGATTTCGCGAAAAATCTCGTCTTACGAGCGAACATGTGGCCGACGCCGTTGATAGAAACTTCGAAAAAGAACGATGGCATTACTGTCATTCGCCCTGATAGGGGGAAAATTAAATAATTGCCCCGTAGTTCCCAACATGTGCACATGAAGTGGCAGTGTTGTTTGCTTCAGTTATTCTTTTGCGAATTGTTTGCAAAATTTTATAAACTAGCTAGATATATATAGTTTTTAGTTTTTCAAACGACTTTAATTAAACGAAATTTGTTTTATTTGGCCATTAAACAACGCCTACACATAAAACTTAGAATATTGGAAATTAAATACTTATATCCAAAAAATATCCATACATATGTACGTATTTAGAAGGCTGTTTCACGCAATTTTTATTTGTAATTATATTCTTACTTTTTCAATCATATTTCAAAAATTACTACATCAGCAGATCTATAGTACCTAATGATTTATCAATACTAATATGACAGTGGTAACTCTTCATTAGCCTGTATGAAAATAGTGGGTGGCGCAATGCAATATAAACAAAGGTGATAAATAGCACAGTGACTTTTCTTCTATATAAAAGACAATCATTAAAGATTACTTGGACGTAGAAAAAAACGGAAATGAACTCTAATCTTATCTCATAGTAAGTATTTCTCTTACGAATAACTTGAAAACAGTTTTATCTTGATTCGCATTTATATATATTTACAGAAGAAAACATTTATAAGCCATCCATTTGAGCACATAGCACATTCATCAAAACATTTTGAATAAACATAATACATACTTCCAGCGCAACGATAAATGCCGACGTTGATACTATAACAGTTGGGGAAAAATTTAAAGCAGTGTGGTATACGTGGCGTTCAGCAATTTGTTTATTCATTAGCTCACAGAAAATACACACAGATCTAGTTTCCAAAAGAACTTATATTTGCGATGTGTGGAATTTTTGCTTATCTGAACTACTTGACTCCGCGCTCAAGGCAGGAAGTGTTAGAATTACTTTTGAATGGACTTAAGAGGTTAGAGTACCGTGGTTATGACTCAACTGGATTAGCTATTGACGATCCGGAGGCCGACGCTCAAAGTAATAGCATAATTATAGTGCGTCGTACTGGCAAAGTGAAAGTTTTGGAGGATGCCATTGCAGAAATATGTAATAGTGATGCTTATAAACAACCCATTTCAACACATGTTGGAATTGCACACACTCGATGGGCTACTCACGGTTCACCATCTGAAACTAATTCTCATCCTCAACGTTCTGATGAAGAAAATGCTTTCGTAGTGGTGCATAATGGTATTATTACCAATTACAAAGATGTAAAAACGTTACTGGAGAAACGTGGATATTCATTTGAATCGGAAACAGACACCGAAGCAATTGCTAAGCTAATACATCATCTATGGCGAAAACATCCCACCTATTCGTTCCGCGAATTAGTTGAACAAGCTATTTTGCAATTAGAAGGTGCATTTGCGATTGCTTGCAAATCAAAGCATTTTCCAGGAGAATGTGTTGCCTCTCGCCGAGGCACACCACTATTGGTTGGCATAAAATCCAAAACTCGTTTATCCACAGACTACATTCCCATTTTGTATGCCAAGAAGCAGCGCGCGCATGGTAAAACATTGCCAGCAGAAGTGTCCTTACCGCCTCGTTTCGATGACACACCTGCAGAATATCAACCCTTGGAAGGTAAAGAAGTAGAGTATTTCTTTGCTTCGGATGCTAGTGCCATTATTGAACACACCGACAGGGTTATCTACCTTGAAGATGACGATGTCGCCGCCGTTAGAGATGGCTCGTTAAGCATTCATCGGCTTAAAAAATGCTTGGACGATCCACATGCACGAGAAATTACAACGTTGAAAATGGAAATTCAACAGATTATGAAAGGAAACTATGATTCATTCATGTTGAAGGAGATATTTGAGCAGCCCGAATCCGTGGTAAATACAATGCGTGGACGCATGTTTTTCGACACTCGTACAGCTGTCTTGGGTGGTATCAAAGAATTCATACCAGAAATTAAACGGTGTCGACGTCTTATACTTATAGCTTGTGGGACTTCATACCATAGTGCTGTCGCTACTCGTCAATTGCTTGAAGAGCTGACCGAACTGCCAGTAGTTGTGGAGCTTGCATCTGACTTCATGGATCGGCATACGCCTATTTTTCGGGATGATGTTTGCTTTTTTATATCACAATCTGGTGAAACTGCAGACACGCTAATTGCCCTGCGTTATTGTAAGCAACGTGGTGCACTCATTGTTGGTATTACCAACACAGTAGGCAGTAGTATTTGCCGTGAATCTCATTGTGGTGTGCACATCAATGCTGGCCCTGAAATTGGTGTAGCTTCAACCAAGGCCTATACCTCACAATTTATTTCATTGGTTATGTTTGCATTAGTTATGTCCGAGGATAGGCTTTCACTACAACCAAGGCGACTTGAAATTATTCAAGGTTTAGAGAACCTAGCCGATCAAATTCGCAAAGTATTGCAGCTTAATTCCAATGTACAAGAACTTGCTAAGGATCTGTATTTGCACAAATCTCTTTTAATTATGGGACGAGGATATAATTTTGCAACATGTCTTGAAGGAGCTTTGAAAGTAAAAGAACTGACGTATATGCACAGCGAGGGAATATTAGCAGGTGAGCTGAAACATGGACCTATTGCCTTAGTTGATGGTGAGATGCCAGTACTGATGGTAGTCATGCGTGATCCCGTTTATACGAAATGTATGAATGCACTTCAACAAGTAACAGCGCGTAATAGCCGCCCGATATTACTCTGCGAAGAAGGTGATGAAGAAACAAAATCTTTCTCATCTCGTGTTTTGGAAATTCCACGTACTGTGGACTGCCTGCAAGGTATACTCACAGTAATACCATTGCAACTGCTCTCATATCATATAGCAGTTTTGCGTGGATGCGATGTCGACTGTCCACGTAATCTCGCCAAATCAGTAACTGTAGAGTAGGTCTACAAAAAATCTATGTATTTACACCAAAAAAGCATTAACCAAATTTGAAGTCTATACCCAATATATTATGTTATGTAAAAATATGATAATAATCCTAAACTTATAAAAGAAAACATTTTACTCTTTTAGTAGTTTTGTTTATAACTATTTATGTATATATTATTGGTATTATCTTATTATATCTGTGACCTAAATGTTATACTTCAATTGTGTATTCTGTCTTTTATTTTTATTAAATGTATTACAATTTCGTGTTCTATGCATTTTAACACAAAATAAACGAATTGGAAAACCAAAATTAATTAATTTTATTTATTAAAAGTGTGTGCTGGTATGTGCAAAGTAGTGATAACATGGGATCGATATTTCTCCTGCGCAGCTGATAGCTATGATACATCGTCAAGGTTTGCACAGTTGCATTTAGAAATGTGTAATTATGAATGGTTGTCTTGCAACTGATGTTTTGGAACTCACCCTATTATTTTCGTTTTCTACTAGAGATACAATTTTTCCAAGCAGCCAATATCATATATTTCAAATAATTCATTTATTTATATAGTTTAATCCATATTTTTGTATATTAATCAAAAAGTCATAGTATAGTTAACGGAATTCGCACATTCTCATTGTTTTAAGCACTTTGATATTCTTTCAATCGTCTATTCGTATATCTAGAAGAAGTATACGTTTCTGATATATTTCTTTTAACTTTATTATTAAGGCATAAATATGTATTTAGAGTATAATAATATTAATAAAATATGCAGATATGTTTCAAAGTACATACATACAAGTATGTACATATGTGAAATGCAAATCGCCGATGGCAGTTTTGTTATTTTTGAGATGCATATGAGTGTACATATGTACATATGTTGATTAAGGACAGGACAGCATACATATGTTCATATACACATTAAATCATTTATCAAAAATTTACTTTAAATTCAGAGAAATTAATAGAAAAAAAATATGTGCTTCAAGTAGCAGCATTTGTACTCTTTCTTAATTCGCAATTTGTTCTATTCGCCGCCAAAAGCTAAATTTCAAACCGAATTGAGCTATGTTTCCCGATCTATTCATTTTCGTCGATGAAAAATGGTGTGAAGAAAACGCGACGTTCTTTGGTTGTGGGGAGAAAAAAGTCAAAAATCTCACTATGTGGCAGCACCGAATCAAAGTCCACATTCCACATATGTCATAACATTTGTAAGAAAATTTATACAGTTTTCGTTAGCACCAAAGCCATTTGTGAGTATTAGGCTGCAACTACCCAACTCACTCTCCAGCCGTCCATAACTGACGACGTTAGTAGTGAAATACATACACGAGCTATCGACGCCGCTGAGAGCGGCGAAATGTTGCCAGCTGCCTGTGTGTTTGCACACTTTTGAACAAATTCATAATTTTCGTCAACGAATTTCATAATTTATTTGCTTTAACATAAACACAAGGCAAATATACATAATCTATATGGTAACAAATAATTAGTTACGCATTTATTTTTCATTTCTTTTGAACAAAACTACGCATTATTTTCGATTATTTAATGTTACTTTAAGAAAGGCTATACTGGCAACCTTGTATAGCAACGAAAAATGAGCCGAGCCGGTTTTACGGAAAAATCAAAACTTCGTTGGTTTCTGCGACACAAACGTCAGCAACGCTATGGTAAATCGGTGACAACTTTGTGTTTACATGGCGCTCTCATAAGATAGGTTACTATGGACGGCTGGTACGCTCGTTGGGTAGTTGCAGCCTTACAGTTCTTCTATTATTAACGGGAATATATTGTTTTATTAAATGAAATTGTGTTTGCAAGGAAGTGTTTGATGTAATTTAAAGAAGGATAACGTTAAAAGGAAGCTAAAAGTCTCTAATATGACCGTAGTTGAAGGGTTAGCTACAACGTCAGCTTCGGCAAACACTGCAACGAGACCGCGTTGTTTTTTCGATATTTCGATCGGTGGCTTGAATGTTGGCCGCATTGTCTTTGAACTATATAAGGATGTGGCACCAAAAACCGTGGAAAACTTTCGTGCTCTCTGTACTGGCGAAAAAGGTCTCGGTTTGGTTACTGGAAAACAGCTTCATTATAAAAATGTTATATTCCACCGTGTTGTCAAAGATTTTGTAATACAAGCTGGTGATTTTTCCGCCGGCAATGGCACCGGTGGGGAGTCTATTTACGGTGGAACGTTTGAAGGTATGCATTTCATTAATACTTTTTATATAATTTTACATGATAGACAGAAATGTATATGTGGGTATCTAATCAATTTATCAAATTATGTTTGAATTAATTTGTGTAATTCAATCTACAGTGTAATTGCCACACATTAATACCAAAACATATGAAAGTTTTTAATTACTGGACAAACTATTTTGATTTTCCAGATGAAAGTTTTGACTTCAAACACGATCGCCCATATTTGCTATCCATGGCGAATCGGGGAAAGAATACGAATGGCTCTCAGTTTTTCATGTAAGTTTAATGTTACAAAGATATTCATTTCATCATACCAAAAATATTTTTAGTTTTAGTATTAACATCTAATGTTTCTTTACAGCATCACTCATTAAAACGAAATGTTTTGTTTACAGTTATATATATATTGATTTATTATTATTATCATTGATTTGTCATCATCTAGCTAGCCAATAATCCTAGGTCGTCACTAAATAGAGTGTAAATGAATCAAACGCTAGGCTACACATCTGGGTCGTTGAAAGCAAAATATGATGTACGGTTTTGATGACAAATTTAGGAAGAAACCCTGTAGGCATCTCCACACTTGTAAAGCATTTAGCGCGATTAACGTTGTCATTGCTTGTGGGTGGTCTTTTGGCATCCCCACCGCATCAGATGGAAAAGTTAACATTTTCATGGGTATCTACAACTGCCATGCTACCCTGCTACCCCAAACTACACGTATTCCTATGGCGTTTTTGTTCTGGGGAGTATGACTGCAGTAGTAGGAAGCGAGACAGCTACAGGAAATTCACACTACGTCCAACGTAGATAAATTCAATTGCTTTGTTGCTACAAATCAAAACCAAATGAAATCGAACTCACTGTGTACACTGTGTAAAGCATAATTTTCTTCTTCTGTTTTTCATTGTAGTACTACACAACCCGCTCCTCACTTGGACAAGTAAGTTAATATAAATTAGAGAGCTAACTTTTTTCTAACATTAATTTTTATCTATATTTCTTTTACTTTTTAGCGTCCACGTGGTATTCGGTCAAGTAATATCGGGACAAGACTTAGTACGTCAATTGGAAGAATTGCCGGTAGATAAAAACTCACGACCATTGCAAGATGTTTCCATATCGAATTGTGGGGAACTTGTACGCCAAGTAAAAGGTGAGTAAGGATTTTTATTCCAATTCAATCATAATGAAGCGTAAACGGTAATAATGTATTGATATTACAGTTAAGAAAGACAAAAAGAAAAAGAAGCGATCGGCAGCTTCGGCGGAGGAAGACTCTGATGAGGGCTCAGAAACTGATAAGCGTTCCAAACGTAAGGAAAAGAAAAAGAAAAAAGATCGTAAGCGTGAAAAATCGCATGAAAGGTTAGTTGACGATACCAAAATAATAAAGTTCGTAGTTTATTAACATCGCTACATCGTAATCTAAAGGTCTGAAGCCGAGAAGAGTCATGAAGAAGAGGGAGAAGCCGATGAAGATGAAGAGGAAGGGGAATTACATCCACTTGTTTCAGTCACCAAGATCGACCCCAACGAAATACCAGAAGTAAGTAAAATATATTCAAGTACCAATTACCTTCCCGGTAAGGCCTTTATATTTCCCATTTATAATATTTTGAACATTTTTAAAATATATTTTGGTATGTTATAGGTCTCAAATAAATTTTTGTTACGTGGTGATCGTGCGAATCGCTCACAAGAGCGCGAACAAAAGCATGAGAATCGTCGTGAGCGGTCCAGTGAAGTAAGGCCCGCATTTGGATGGTCTAAAAAGCGTGTACCGGTCTCACGTAGTGGCCGCATTATCAAAGGACGTGGCGTATTCGTAAGTAGAAGCACACCAAAAATATTCGGCCATAAATCTACAAATATTTTCTGTTTAGCGTTTTCGTACACCGTCCCGTAGTCGATCTCGTAGTACAACTCCCCCACATTGGAAACGTGCACAGAATCGTACAATTAAATTGTCAGACTTGGAGCGCCTGGAAGAAGAAAAGAAATTACGTGACGAGGAAATAAAGAGGCGTGAAGTAGAACGCAAAAAGCGTCATGAAGAGATGAGAAGAGATCCGAATAAATCCTTCTTCGAGCTATCGCATGCAAGCTCATATGGCGGAAGATATAGTGCTTCACCCGATCGCAAGAATCGTTTTAAAGATAATAATAATTCGCGTAAAGACAGATATGATGATCGTCGTGCAGATAACATGCGCGAGAAGGAGGGAGAAAAGGAAAGGGAGAGACCAAAGGAGCGACGCAGAGAGCATAGCGTGGAGCCAAAAGCTGTGCCGAAACGTAAAAAATCTATGGACATGAATGCACTTGACTACGAACATCAACCGGACAGTGAAAATGAAGAAGGTTCGGCAGAGAAAGAATCGTCCATGGACTTAAAGGATAATAAGTCAAAATATGAGAGTAAAATATCAGGAAAAGAGCGACAAAATGTAAAAGAAAACAAACAGGATAAAGAAAAGGGAAGGAATAAAGAAATGGAACACGGCAAAGAAAAAGAGCGCAAAAAGGAAACAAGTTCTAGAGATACTGAAATTGAAGGACATTCATTTAAAGAAGGCAAGGGCAATAAAAATGGAGATAATGCAAAAGAGAACGATAGAAATAAAGACAAATCTAAACCCGATGAGAAGGATAAAGAAAAGGACAAAGATCGTGACAAGGGCAAAGGGAAGGATACTTTCCGTCGCAATAGGAATCGGTCCGAGAGCGGTTCTCGCAACAAGCAACGTTCGCGATCGCGGTCACGTTCATCGCGTTCAAACTCTCGTTCCTTTCGTCGTCGATCACCCATAAGAGATCGCCGGGATAGATTTCCTATGCGCCGAGGTGGCTTCCGTTCACCACCCAGACGTGATTTCCGCGGCAGACGTGGCGGTAATCCATTTATGGACCGCAGACGTCGCTCTGCTGAGCGTTACCGCAATCGCTTGCCGCTTTCACCCATACGGACGCGGCGTGCAACGCCGTCTCGAGATCGACGTTCCCGTGAACGTTCTGCATCATTTAGCCGTTCATGTTCACCTCGACGCGATCGTATACGCAAACGCTCAGTCGACTCACGAGCCCGCAGTCGCGATCAGAGATCACGCTCAAAGTCGCGTAATCGTCGTACGAAATCAATGTCACGAGAAAGGGGCTCACGTACGCGTGGGCGTAAAACCAAATCCCAATCACGATCTCCTAATCGTCAAGCACGCAAAAGACGTTCGGGCTCGCGTTCACCAAGACGTTCCAAATCGGCTGATCGACGTTCTACAAAGAGGGATAGTAACGTTGAGGCTAATATTAGTGCCAGTAGTGCAGCGGGTTCTTTAGAAAATGCCGCTCGTGAAAAGATGCTAAAACGTGCTGAAGCTGCACAAATGTTAAAAGATCATATGCGTAAGGAGATAGCGAGGGAGGAGGAAAGACGTGCGGAGAAGCAGCGTCTGGATGATTTGGAGAAGGAAAAAACTGCCAGAGAGCTTGAAGAACTGGAACGTCTGAAACAAGAAACACTGGCAAAACTGGAGGAACATGAAAATTTAAAAAAGATGAGTGTTATTGCAGCAGTGGCGGAGGCAATTAGTTCCAAGGATCATGGTAAGGACGGAAAGACAAAGGAGAAAAAGAAGAAGCGTAAGAAATCGAAGAAACATACGCGTACTTCTGGTACTGAGTCAAATTGAGAATTATAATTTTAATGAACATAAATACGTAAATGTATGATCAAGGGAGATTTCTCAATTTATTACAAAATATTTAAATTTTAAATATGTACTATTATATTTGTATATATTTATGTAGTTTTCAATACATACATAAATACATAATACATTGAAAAGATATTATTTACGATTGTGTGCGTAACAACATTTATAGATATTCGGCAAACAAATGAATTACTGTAAATTAAAACTATTTCTCTTCTTTTCAATGTTAATTGCAACTGGAAATTTTAAATAAAGGCCATTTGAAATATATGAAAAAGTTCTTAATTCATTGTAAACATTACTGCTAAAATATGAAGCAAGAGTCCTAATTATTTCAGTCTGGCATATATCCATCTTTCACTAATCCAGAACCCGTTCTGCCTTACTGCTGCTAAATTCTCAGCCCCCCTATTTCCATAGGATACGATGATATTGTTCTCAATCCCTTAATCAGGAATCTCAATAAGGAGACACGGTGTCGAGTGGGAGAAGCACTTAAGATCCTGCAACCTCGGCTCTGGGCCACAGTCGAATCCTTGTCAAGCCCGACGAGACGCGATGACCGGGTGGACATTTTAATTGTCGGACCTGAAGAGGTGCGCCAACTGCATCCCTCGGTTGACAAAATATAGCGACAAGTGACCTCCCGCCTGCGCAAAATGTCAAACACCAGCGCGACGCTTGATTTTTCCGAAAGCGGAAGTCTCCAAACAGCTCCAACGGAATAAGCATTCTGATGCTAAAACACATAGCACTAGCGTGAGCGGACTATTTCACCAAGGTCAACAATTTGGCTCTTACCTCCCTGTGGAAAGTGGTGAGGGTGTTCCCATTACTAAAACCGGGGAAACCAGCCAGTAGCACAGACTTTTGAGGCCTTCCTGCTACCGTCTTTCACAAACCATCCACATCAGTGTGGCTTCTGTAAAATGCACAGCCGCATAACCGCACTTAGTCAATGACTTCAACCAAAAACGGCCCTGCGCGCGAGCTGCGCAGGTAGCACTTGATCTATCTAGAGCTTTTAGAAATTCGAAATCAAATATCCAAACTCAGAAAGATTAAACAAGGAATTCCGCAGGATGGTGGGTTTCACTGGTCTCTTATGTGAACGATTGCTCGATATCGGTATATGGCCATGATATCGACGACCTATGTTCGAAAGTGAACTCTCTATATCGACGATCTTTGTCACTTTTTCACTGCAAGACAATTGCAAATACAACCGACAAAATCTTCGGCTGCCCTTTTCACCAGTTGGACAAAGGAGTACAGCCGATGGCATCGAAATTCCACAGTTCACAAATAACCCAAAGCTACTGGTAGTCACATTCGAAAGACTGCAGTCCTCCACTCCGCAGGCACATCAGAAAGGGAGCACTAGACTTGAAGAACACAATCCAGGAAGACATGCAACAATCGCTGGACAGGTCAGACACTAAACGCCATACCTCAGTAGTCAATCAAAACCTTTAAGAACTCTTTCCCTCTGAATGGCGTTGTAGGAGTCAAACCACCACTCATAGCAGATGAAGACAAACTTAACATACGGCGCTAACGATTTCTTTACACGCCCCCTAAAAACGATACATCTGACCCCCCTCTCGTTAGTACGAACCTGTCGAAACAGCTGGTTTCTTGAATCCCCCATTAGATGACCTCGGTGACTTGGATTAAATGTTGTTGCTGTTGCAGAGGTTCACTAGGCCCGCAATCTAACCCAGGTTAGGTCACCAGGTAACATTACTCGCCTGTCCTAAGGTTACCTGTAGACCTAAACGGGGTTAGGTCTCCGAAAGGGTGACAGCCCTTGGCCGGATAAAATCCGCGTCAACTCCGGTGCGTAGAACCGGCCGTCGTGAGAGTTGCCGGCCGGTCGTAAACTATGCTGCTCCGATCTGGACGCCGGGGACGAACGGGACGCAGATGAAGAAGCTACAGGCTTGCCAAAACACCGCCCTCAGGACTGCGACAGGAAACCTCCTGATGTCGCCGGAGCATCACTTGCACAGGGAAGCATCTATGCTACGAGTTAAGGAGCATAATGCTTAGCTGTGCAAGCAGTTCCTACTGGGATGCTACCGCAGGGAGCACCCCAGTAGGCACTTAATAGAAGCTGAACCTCCACCTAGGCACATCAGGAAGGGAGTACTAGACTTCAAGGACACGATCCAGCAACACACACAACAACCGCTGGACAGGACGGCGTATCGACAAGCACTGAACGCCATTCACCAGGAGTCAGTTAACACCTTCATGAACTCCCTTCCAGTGAATGGCGTACTCGGAGAAATACCACCACCCATAGCAGACAACGAGCTCGAGCTGCCTCGAGAGACCCGCGTGACCCTGACACAACTTAGGTCTGGATATTGTAGCAGGTTAAACTCCTACCAATCCAGACTAGACCCCAGCATACCTAGCGTATGCCCGGCATGTGGAGAGTCCCCGCACGACACTAACCACCTCTTCACATGCCCCCTCAAACCTACTCATCTAACCCCCCTCTCCCTTTGGTACCCCGTCGAAACAGCTCGTTTCCTGGGCCTACCTTTAGATGACCTCGACGACTTAGACTGATTCAAGCCTGTGCCTAAGCGGGGTTAGCGAATCCGCTAAAACAACAACAACAACTCGCCTGTCCTTAAGCTGGCATCGGTCCTTGATCTTCATCGTCAAAAATTGAATAAAGTTCATCGATGCACTGCTCCTTAGTTAATTCACGTCGAAGGATGTAAAAACTGTTCGCGTGAAAGGTTCATCATTTCACCCATTTTTTGGCCGAGCTGAAAATTTTCAGTTACCGAAACAAAGAAACCTTCTGAGTATTTATAACATCAAATGTCAAGATTTTACGGTAAAGTTTCCATCTGTCTGGCAACAATACTAGAGCTGCCATATGCCGAAATATATAAGGGAACCCTCGTATAAGACGACATTGACATAGTTCAGCGTATTAAAGGATAGCGACTGCGATGACTAAGTCATGTCGTGTCGAGTGGCGAAAACAGCCTTAAGAGTATACTATCCAGTACCCATTGTTGGCAGCACTAGTAAGATCAGGGCTCAATACATTCCCGACGCAACAAGTGTGACTGGTACATACTCGAAGGCTGAACTATTATATGTATAGTTGATTGCCAGCAGCAGAAGTTCGAAGAATCCCACGGAGCACTCCTCGCTCCAAAAATTTTGAAGAGCCGAAACGCTGAAATAAATTCCCCTCGAGATCGACGAGAATGCGCATCCTGTACCACCTCATATTTTCTAGTATGGAGATCACCTCCATAATCCTTCTATGAATACAATTATGACTTTCATTTAACATTATCTTCAATATTCCTGACATAAAATGCTCTTAATATAATGGAATATATGTATTTGAAACATTTCACAGGTCTAATTTTCTTACACAAGCAACTTTAGTCGAGACCAGTAGTTAAAAAGCTTCACTTGCCATATGTTTCGTTTTCCTATCGCACTCTGTTGCTAGTTCTCCCAGCACATTCGTTCTTGTACTTCTTACTCACGTTTTCATTCATACTTTGCAGTGACATAATACATACATATGTATGTATTTTTATTGGAGAATTTGCTTTGATTGTATTTTCTTCGACATCTCTTTAAAATTGCACTCGCCGTTTGGACCCGAGCTAAGTCGATAGCTTTTGGTGCTCAATTAAGTTACCTACACACATACATACATGCTTACAAACATATGTAGAGCGGCATAAACAGCCACTTGCTGTGCTTTGCAGCGCCACTGGAGCTCCACCACCCTGGCTTTTTATGTATTTGTATATAGCTTTTGGTTGTGCTCTCTTTCCTTTCTCTCTATCTCTCTCTGGCTCTTTTGGACATGAAGCACTGTGTACAAACTATTTCATTATCTCTGATAATTCGGAAAGACGCTCAAATTGGAGGCATGTACGCCTATATATATGTATTATATATACATACATACATATACATGTGCATATGTATGTATGTATTGGCTTTTGTGTATTTCTGAGCAAACGAAATTGAATTATTTTGCACTGAGAGCTGAAACTTGGATAAGGCAATAATAAACGTAGTGTGTAAGTAAGGGGTAAGGGAATGTGGAAAGGTAATGGATTGCACAGTAGTCCATTTATTATTGACTATTTGGGGCTTGGATGTATGGCATTTGATTAAGATAAAAGAAGAGAAAGATATGCCATTAATAATGCTAAATGGCCGCCAAGGCCACGTATACAGGACCGTATCCGGATGAAATTTCCCAACTTCAAAATGCAAAGTGGCTGCTATGTGCCCCCTAAAAGATCGATGGTTTCGTTGCTTATGTGGCAAGTCATCTTGTTAACGTTGTCCAGATCAATACAATCCAATTCCAGTTATAGAAATTCATTAATCATCTCTCGATAGCGCAAGTACGTAAGGTTCAATGACACCGCTGAACCCTAAATCGCAACAAACAGTTGAACGTTGAGGATCGAGAGGCTTTTCAACAAGAAACCTTGGGTTTTTCGAGCCCCAAGTGCGACAGTTTTGCTAATTGAAGTTGCCATTAGTGGATGTGGAAAAGAACCATATCAGTCAGGACGACTTTGCGAGAGAATTTCGGATCATTTTCATGCATTTCAAGGACCCAATTAGCAAAGACACCACGTTGTTGATGATAGGCCGGCCAGCTTGAGATTTTGTGTTGACTGAACTTTTATAAGATTTAAGACCCAAGTCGTTGCTCTTATAGGAAAACCCTTTATATAATTGGCGCTTATTGACCGCCACGAAGAACCTACATTTTATTCTAAGCGACCCTCGTACGACTACCGGACTTTTAATACCATGGCCTTCCTCGTTATAGCACGCACTGCTAAACACTCAGCTAAAACTTTCTGCTCTTTGCATTGTTTGCTTTGCCTGTGACAGCAAATAAGTTAAGACGGGTTTCTATGAGCTCGTCAACGTTCATTTTTTTTTAAGAAATGAAGCAAAGTGCAACCAAACAGTGATCCTGCTTTCTAATGGCATAGTGCATAATGTCAAACGGTCAAGAACTCCTTCTGCCAACAGGTTCAGCGCCGTTTTCATTAAGCAATCCTAAAAAACCCCCGGATTTGTGGAAAACCCACTCATAGCTTTTCCATCACTTTAATGCGCCTAGCACTTCGCACTTAATTATACATATAGTCGTAGCCAAAAACAATACTGTTACGAAGCTCCAGCCTAAATATTTGCCAGATATGGCTCCGTGTACTTACAAATAAATAAATAACTCTATAATAACCTTAAAGGGCCTTCTGCAGATGTAAATGACATTGAAAACACGCAAAGAAAGTTTTTTCTCTTCCGTGTAAACATACAGGGTTCCTTCTGTTACCTACACTTCTTCTCGCTGTGGTGGCCGCAATATCCGAGTGGTTAGCAGGATGTTGTATCATCCGAATCAGGGTTCGAGTTCTGGTCCGGCCAACAAAATTATTGAAAACTGATAAACTGAAATAACTAAGGCAACTGCTATGTAAACTGACTTTAACCAACATTAAAAGTTCCGTCAGGATCTTGAAGAGCTTCTCCGAACCGCTCGACACCGAAAGAGATTTCAGACAGGGTGATTCCTTATCATGTGACTTCCTTAATTTGATGCTGCAGAAAATAATAAGAGCTGCAGAGCTGAATAGAGAAGGTAAAATCGTCTATAAGAGTGTATAGCTGCTGGCGTATGCCGATGACATTTCTCCAGACTGGACAAAGAAGCAAAGCGAATGGGTCTGGCATGAAATCCAACGCAGTATTATTCCTGCCAACAGGTGCTATTATGGACTAAGTAGGCGATTGAAAAGTGTAGTCCTCACTCGACAACGACCAAAACTAAACTCGGCAAACCACTGATCATTCCCGTTCTACTAAATGGTACAGAAGCGTGGACGATGTCAACATCCGATGGGTGTATTCGCGGTCCGTTTGAGTGATAGCGCTCCAGATTTGTAAGTGTTCGAAGTAATACTCGTCGGTGGAAGCAGGGGAAGGGACGACCTGGTTTCACTAGGTATTTCCAACTGACGCCATACAGCGAAGGGAAGAACCGAATGACGCGCTATTGTTGATTCGGCTATTATAGCGTAAGCGGTGAATGAAGAAGAAGAGAACTTAAATAAAAAATTAGCTCATTTTTCGAATTGCGGCCATTCCTCGTGAGGGTATATAAACCCCTTACCCCGTACCTGCAAAATACTTCTGTAAAAGTGTAGAACCTGAAATATTAAGGCATTTTCTTTGGGAATGCTCCTTACTTTCGAGGGGTGACAACCTTCCTGGAAGACTTCAAATCCATCAGGCAGCTCCTAGTTAGTGCTATGTATGTATGTACTTTAAATTACTTTGTTTGTTAAAAATGATATGGACTTGTGAGGTTGTTGTTGTTGTAGCGGTTCGCTAACCCCGCTTAGGCACAGCTTTGATCAGTCTAAGTCGCCGAGGTCAACTAGTGGGAGGTCCAGGACACGAGCTGTTTCAACGGAGTTGGACCAAAGGGACGACCCGGATTTCACCGGCTGTCACTCTTTCAACGACCTAACCCCGTTTAGGTCAACAGGTAACGTTATGGACTTATGAGGTCTATAATTTCGGTGTTTGCCACATTTTCAAACTACTGTGCGTACTTTAAATACATAAATATACACATAAATACACACATAGGCACATCCCTATATTCATACAAAGTTAATGAAGCGGCTTTTTGCCGGCTCATGTATACGAAACTCACATATCAATAATCATTCGATGCCATAAGCTTGTGCGAAATGCTTCCCTGCTGCAGCACCACCACCCAATAATACCCAATTGTTGCAGCAACAGGAACACAACGCTAGCGGCAAGAGCAGAGAGCGCATAAACACATTTTCAGAGCGTATAAAACTCGGCGCTACAAAATTGTCCGCAACGTCGCTTCAGCTTTCTTTAGCTTTTTCCACAATTCAGTTCTACAATCACTCAGAACGTGTTTGGATGTAAAACGGTGATTTAGCGGAAGGTTTGCGTCCACTCGGTACTCGGTACAATAAGAACGTGTGTGTGCGCGCGCGGTGGCAAAGCCAACCGGCCGGTGAAGTGTATTAACGGAATTACATACATACTTGGAGTTGAAGTGAGGTTTTGTGTAATCAAAAATGCTTGAAATATTGTTATTGTAAAAATGACAAATGAATATCAATAAAAATTATAGGGAAATTATAGAAAAATTTATGCAAAGTTCGCGATTGCGTTTGCCTTCGTGAGTGAAGAAAAGAGCAGTAACGAGTTGGGGGCAACAACAGCGCCTCGAACAAACAACGAATTTAATGTGAGTTTGCAAAAAAAAACAAAAAAAAAGTCTGTATTGGCGTTTTCAAGAATTTGGCAGAAAATTTTTTTATTTTACCTACCTATCAAATTATTAAAGATTTCGAGGACTTTGCGTATTGTAGGTGGACATTGTATACATACATAAATACATATGTATGTATATATGTATATGTAAATGAGTAAACATATAGAAGATGCAAAATAGAAACGGAAAGTACAATACATTACGAAACTATGTATGTATGTGGACTCGTCAAAGCACTGCTAAAGTCACTGTCACTGTCTCTGCCGCTGCCGCGGAGCACTGCAGCAGCGACGCAATTTAGTACGCTCGCTGTCCAATTGATTGTATTTGTTCCGTAAAACTGCACGAACAGCAAGAATGACAACAAAAGTGACAAACGAAATATGTAAAATATTGCAAAAGAACGTAATAGAGAAAGTTGGAAGTACATACACGTATGTACAAACATACATGCATATTGTACCTATAAATATACATACACGTATGTAAGAGTAAATACGAAGTACAAAGAAGTAATATGCAAACATACGATTTTTCCTAAAGCGGAAATAAAGAAAGAAATGAAATAACGCAGTTGAAAAGCCGGTGATAGCTTTGTAGCGAGTGGGTGGGCTGGCAGTTTTCATAATTCGCATTGTTTAATATACATATGTATGTATGTATGTAGGTATGTACTTGTACGCATATTTTACAGTCTGTTATGAAAGTTTGTTAAGATTTTATAGCGATAGGCGTGGTGAGTTTGTTAATATTAAAGTTTAACGTTTTTGAAAAGCTGAAGTGAATCGTTTGTAATTGTGTGCGTACATATGTCTGTATGTATTTACATATGCATTGTGTGTTTACGTGTGCATATGTATGTACATAATAAATACTTTGTTTATAAAATATAAAATGAATTATGTGTTCAAATAAGTACATATGCATGTATGTGTATGTATGTACATACATAGTAATACATGCTGAAACGCGAAAGCTGTTTTTAGGTTCTAGCTTTTAGGCGAATTTTGACAGGTTAATGAAAAAAATTTGAAAAATCACAAATAATTTTATAAATCGATTGGGGGAAAAAATTATGACATGCATATGTACACACATACATACTAGAAAAGATGTATGTAGCTTTTGCAATAATCAAATTTGATTTGGTTCATATTAAAAATTTTGAAAAATTTGAAAATTTTGAGTTCTACCCGTATTCATTGACGCATTTTGAATCAAAACTTGCTTGTGAATTCTATTACATACATACGAGTATGTGTGTACATATACAGCTTCGATACAAAAAAAGGCTAGAGCTTAAGATTTACCCTTCGAATTCTAAATTTTGCACATAAAAACCATCGGGCAGTAAATAATTTTTTAATATTTTTTTTGTTCAAAACATAATTAATATAGGGGCTTCCCATAGGGATGATATGATTTCTAAGTGGCGTCTTGACCATATTTAATATGATCAAGATCCTCCTTTTTGGTGTTGTTGTTGTAATGGCAAATATATTTCCCACAGTACTTTTTGGGGAATTTTGCGGAAGTGACAGTCCTTGGCCGGATAAAAATCCGGGTCGTATCGGTATAAAAACCTGACTTTCGGGGGAACTTTTTGATTTTAGTTACTTTTTACGACAAGCATGCCTTACCGCAGGTGAATTTTTGAACCCCTAACCCGCAGGGAGGGCCGACGATTGTTTTAAGAAAATTATCTTCTCCGATGAAGCTCACTTTAATCTCAGTATATAAAATATATATGTATATAATTGGCGCTTTGTTGGCGTTGTAGTGATTTTCGGAAGAGCTCCTCCTCCAATTTGTTTTGGTTTTGCTTCTTGATATTTTAACAACAAATGGAGGGACCTATAGTTTATACTAAGCCGCTTCCGAGCTACTGATGATTTTTTTGCGATGAGCCTTTATTTCATCTCCGAAATACACTCGGAGGGACATTCCCTGCCATTCCCATTCATCAGGTGCAAAGAAAATTCACAAATTATTCATGAACAACCATTAAAATGACATTTCAATTGAAAGTTTGGTGTGGTTTTTGGTCTGCTGGAATCAGCGACCCTTACTTCTTTCGAAATGAAGCTGGTAGCATCGTTACTGTCAATGGAGAGCGGTATGGATCGATGGTAACCAATTTTTTATGGCCACATTTAGAAGAAGTTGCTCTTAACAACATACGGTCTCAAGACAGGGCTACGTGTCACACAGCACGTGCAACAACAGAATTATTGAGAGAAAGTTTTCGAGATTCGATTATTTCAAGAAATTGTGTCATTGAATAGCATCTAAGAAGTTGTGATTTAACTCAATTAGTCTTTCTCTTGGGGGTTTATTTGAAGTCATTGGTCTTTAGTAATGAACCAGACACTCTTCAAGCTTTAAAAGTCAATATTGAACATGCTGTTCATGACATTCAACTTGATTTATTATAAAAAGTGCACAAAAACTGGGTTCATCGAATTCGTTTCTGCAAAAGAAGTCGTGGAGGCCATTTTGTATCGATTAAATAAAAAAACATTTGAATTTCCTGTGTCTTTTTTTTTAAGAAATCATCTCACTCTTATTGGAAAACCCCATACTATAAAAATTTGTCTAAAATGCATAAAAACGTACATGTAAAAAACCAAAAATTCCAATAAAGATTATTTCGAAGCAGCGAAACTGTGGCTTCCTAAATTTTTCCTGATTCCAACCATCGAACAGTAAATAATTTTTCAATTTAAAAAAAAATATTATTTTTTTTTTAATTATTTTATTTTGCATATATTTTAAAAAATTCGTAAATTTCAAGAAAATCTATACGTAGCAAACCAAAAATTACAATAAAGAATATCTCGAAGCAGCTGAAATGCGACTATCTTACCGGCAACAGCAACGCATTGCCCTGCCGACAGCGCTGTTTGCCGCAAAGGATGTGCGTACTGAAAAGTAAAACGCAATAACAGTAAACACTCAAGCAATGTGGACGGCAAATAAAGAGGAAATACTTCAATGTTAAATACTCAAAAGCACGAAATTATATATACGTACATATGTATGTATGTATATATGAAGTATATCAAAAATTGGTGCTTTAAAAGAAGTGTTTGTATATACATACATAAAGAAAATGAACGCATACCGAAAAAGACAAACATAACTAAAATAATATAAAAAATATTGTGAAGAAGTTCTCTGTGTGTGTGTGTGCGTGTGTGTATGTGTGTGTGTTTGTCATCATCAATGCGAATTTAACATTCTGCGTACGCGTCTCAGAATGCTGAGCAACCAGGATGTATGGAAAATATAATATAATATTTATAAAATATGTACATATACATATATAAATAATATATACCTAAATACTATACATATGTACATATGTGTAAAAGATATATATGAGTTTGTGTGTACAACAGTGGAGTTATTCATTGTTTGCAATTAAGTGTACATATATACATATGTACATATGTATGTAATCTGTAATATTAAATAAAATTTTGTATATTTTTTATACATTTTTATTTAATTTTTTTTTTTAACAACACGCATACTTCTTAATATACATATGTATTAAACATACATACATTTTCATCATATTACTGCCTACAAATTTACCTATATTTGTTTATGTAGGTACATACATATGTACATATATACAATATACTTGTATGTATAATATATGTACATAAAATGGCTTTCTTCGATACGGCCAGTTGGCAGAAAGCTCCTCGCACCATAAACATTTCAGAATTTGTAAGTGAAGGAGTGCCCTCAATGCCAAACAAAATGATTGGAAACGAAATGTTCGGTAGGAAAGGTACACATAGTGGTTAAAAACGTCACCGATACAGTCATCGCTTCACTAAAAGCAACAACATATTTCATGATATAACATACTTACCTATATATATATGACTTACCTATATATATATGACGGAGGGAATGAGGAGCAAAATGCTATTGTATACATACATACACGTATGTAGGTATCGCATGGTAACAAAAGATTGTCAGCCTATAATTTAAAAGATGAAGGGGAGAAAATTTTGAGAAATTAATACATATTAACATTAACTACATACATTTACTATATTAGTATATATGTATGTACATTTATATTTAATGCTTGCGAAGGAACAGGTGTAGCGCAAGCTATGAGCCGTCAATACATTAGTTAAATTTCTACTTTTTGAATTTGAATTTCTCCCATACATATATACATACATACATATGTACATACATATGTTCCAAGTGAACTTTATTTTACTGGCACTTCAGTTTCGACCGTTGTAATGTTTTCAAAGTTGAAGAGTCTTTAGCAACAACAAAAGTACTGTTAGGATCGGGCAGGACCTCTCCGCGCCGTGGGATGCCAAAGGAGGTGTTTTAAAAGGTGTTTTTATTGTTCAAAAAGCAAAAAAATTCATCAAAGTAGTTTCTGGAGAATGTTACGGGAGTGAGAGTTCTTGGCCAAATAAAAATCCCGCACGTTCCAGTATAAGGACCCAACTGTCGCGAATTTCAGTCGCCCCTTAGGTCAGGCATGCCTTACCGCATTTAAATTCTTGAATCCCCTAACCCCTTAGGAACGATCAGACAAAGTGACTCTCTATCGCGTGACTTCTTTCAATTTATTACTACACATTGGCGACTCGGCCCCCGTTAACTTTGAAGTCGTAGATAATTTCGTGGATGACAACATAGGTTTTGCTTAAGAGTTATGTTCCTCATCGATGGAACGGTGAGCAGTACGAGACATACTGTGCCGAAGGACAGGGGGGGGAATTGTGTTTCAACAGGACAACGCCAGAGCACACACCCCGATAGTGACTCGCCAGAAGCGTCGAGAGCTTAGTAGGAAGGTTCTTATGCATCCACCTTACAATCCGGACTTTGCAGCTAGTGATTACCATCTGTTTCTGTCTATGGCGCATGGTTCGGTTGTTAAAGAATTGAACTCGCGATAACAATTATAATCTCGAATGTTT